GACCACACCCTGATATTGCTTGGCCACATGTGTTCCGGTTCTAATCTGTAAAATGTTGGAGGATATAAAATTGTTGTTAACTGTTGACTTTGACTTAATGATGACTGTATGAATGACAGACTTCCAACATGCCCTGTAGGAATATCAACATCTCTGCTCAGGTTTTGCAAATTCAAGGATGCAGCTTCCTTGATTCAGACTTTCCACTTATAATGTAGCCTTCCTCTCTTCCCATGATATGTCCAAAGTATGACAGTCTCAGCTTAGTCATCTTGGCTTCTAAGAAGAGTTCTGGATTGATTTGCTCTAGGACCCCATCCAGTATTCCCCCCCCTTACCGGGGGGGGGGGAATAAGTTCCAAGACCCACCAGCAGTTGAGTCTCCCTTATCCAGAATTCCAAATTCTGAAATATTTCAAAATCCAAATTGTCTACATGACTGACATAGTGACACCTTTGTTTTCTGATGGTTCAGTGTACACAAATTTTGTTTAATGCACAAAATTATTAAAAATGTGTATAAATTTACTTCCAGGCTGTGTGTATAAGGTGTCTATGAAAAATAAATGAATTTAATGTTTAGATTTGTGTCTCATGGCTAAGATATATCATTTTGTATATGAAAATATTCTGAAGTCTAAAACACTTCTGCTCCCAACCATTTCAGATAAGGGAGCATCAACCTATATCTGTAATGTTTTTGGACTGCAATTGACTGTAGGTAACTGAAATTGCAGAGAGCAAAACTGTGGATAAAGGGGATTACATTATACTTTTGGACTGTGGCTGACTGCAAGTAACTAAAACCACGGATAAGGATGGACTCTTGTATTTGGCTTTTGGGCAGTCTGTGATACCTACAGAATTCTCTTCCAATACCACTCTATTCAAATGAGTTGATTTTCTTCCTATCAGCTTTCTTCACTGTCTAGCTTTCACAACCATACACAGAAATAAGCAATGTGATGGTATTGACAACCTTGATTTTAGTATTCAGTGATATGTCTTTACACTTGAGGATCTTATCTAGTTCCCTCATAGCTACCCCCTCCAAAGTTTTCAGCTCAGAACATATGTATCTGTGGGTGGAGGTGATTAATACCTAGACTTGTCATGGTCAGATCATTTTCTGGTCAGGGCTAATATTACAGCAACAACATGTCCCTGCAGGGTGCAGAACCTATATTAGGATGGCTCTCCCTCAAAGGCTAGTGGATCCCTTGATATTTCAGGAGACTGTAGAGGGTTTATGGCTGATATCACTAACTATACTGTTGAAGTTCTGGCAGTAAATGGAGTAAAAATCTAACCAAGGCTATTGATACAGTGTTAATATGCCCAAATGTCCTTTCCGACCTGTTATTAAGCAGGTTCCTTTGTTTATAGAGATTCTCAGGGAGCTGAAACAGGAAGGGCAATAATTAGAGCGTAGATAGTGGATAACGTTTATGTGAAAAGACATCTTGGTTCCTGTAGGGTGGCAATAAGCCCAGCAAAGAGAGTTTTCTGCACATATTGCGCCTGTTAATTTACATCCAGCTGAGCTATTCAGGGTGCTGAGAGGTCTATCACAGGTACCCTCTCCCTTGAATCCAATCTTAGAACCTTCAGTAGCTCTCGGTGATGCTTTTAACAACCATTTTGCAAATCTCTTACATAAGAACCTGTTTAGATGGCCATCATTGAACTGGAAATGGATAATGGGGTGTCCACCAAATATGAGTGGGATTACACTGGATGAGTTTCACTTCATGAGTCTTGCTGATATGGACAAACTGCTGGGGCGAGTAAGGAAGACACTTGTTTTCTTGATTCCTGTCGCACAGGAGGAGATGCAGTTAGACTACAGATACAACATATAATTAATATCTCAGGGAAAGGAATATTCCATTTAGTTTAAAAGAAGCAGTGGTTAGACTACTTCTGAAAAAGCCCTGCCTGGATTCCCTGGATCTTAATAATTATAGACTAGTTTCTAATCTTTTTTGGGGGCAAGTTGATCAAGAGGACAGTTGCCTTCTTACTGCAGGCATTTTCGGATGGCACACACTTCCTTGACCCATTTCAAACTGTCAGCAGAGCAGGTGATGATGTTGAAACCAGTATAGCTGCTTTAGTGGATGATCTTTATCTTAGAACTAACAGGTGGAGTGTGTCCCTGTTGGTGCTTTTAGGCCTCTGAGAGGTGTTCAATACCATCAACCACGGTATCCTTTTGGAATGTCGGGGGGTGTTGGGAATCGGAGGCCCAGTGTCACTGTGATTCCAGTTTATTTCTCAGGCAGGTTCCAGATGGTGAGGCTTAGAGACAGTGGCTTCTCAAAAAAGGAGTTGTTATATGGCATACAACAAGATGCCATTCTATCCCCAATGCTGGGAGGGATCATTCATAGGTATGGGATGGTGTGTTGTTAGTATGATGATATCCAAATAGATTTCTCCAAACCTTCAAAAACAGCCTCAGCTAAGGATAGTGTGTCTCCTCTGAATGAA